ACACATCAATTCTCTTCTTACTGGAGTTTACTTGTTTCATGGATAAGTTTATGCATCTGTGAATGAGTGGAAAAAAACCACCTCCTTGATGCCTTGAGAACATCCTTGGCAAAAATCAAGAACAAGAATTTGTCACTTCACTCTTATTAAATGTTTATACTGATGAAAGTCATGTTCCATCACCAGAATTAGAGCAAGCTTTGTTCTCAATAAGCAGGAGGAAAGTTTTCCTCAAATAAGTAGGGTCTTGTTCTTCCACCCAAAAAGTAATGATCAGGTAGGTGGCCTCATTAGCATATTTCTGAATTGGTCCATTGCTGACCATGGTGATTTTAAGGGGAAATGCAAGTTCTGACACAGGCATGTAAGGAAACCCTGTTAAAGTGAGTCAGACCAACAAACGACCATCCTAGAGCTAAGAACTTCCTGCCTGGCTTTATGAGGTCACTGTCCCTCAAGATCAGCTTCCCAACCTACCATAGTGGAATTGGCCTAATATAAAGGTTTGTTATAATGATGACTAAGCCAGGTATATCTAGAAGCACTCTCTGTCTGAGAACAGCCAAACCGCCCCCAATTGCCCCTGACTCATATTTATACAAGATTCTGCGTTTTTGCACCACAGTAGGGGAACACCTTTGGGGAGGAAGGCAGAGTTTTCCAGGCTTGTTCTGCTCCGATCCGCTTGTCCTGCCAGAGGTGGGCAGCAATACCTTGCCACACCTTTCACCTGCTCCGCCGGAGAACTGGAGGCGTGCAGGGAGCTCCCCTTTCCTAGGCTGGGGCGCGTGCGCGCAAGGGTGGGCAGGGCTTCCCTTTACTTGCCGGGGAGGGAGACCCGCTAGACTGGCTGGCGCGCGCCAATCGTGCCCGTCCGCCGTGCTGCGCGCGCGCCTGCTCTCACCCACCTGTATCTGCAGCGGCACGAGGCGCACTTTGCAGCGCTCGCCCACCAGAAAGCCCTTGGGCAGGTCGATGTACTGGCTCCACTCCTCGGAGAAGAGCTGCACCACGAACTTGCGGTGCATGTCGAGCTGGTCGCCGTAGAGGCTCAGGAACTTCTGGATCAGCGTCTCGTAGCCAGAGCCGTGAGGCACCGTCGAAGGCCTGGCGAACACCGAGAAGCAGAAGAGCACCGGCACGGAGCCTGCTCCCCCGACGCCGCCGCCCCCGCTCGACAGGAGAGGAGCGGCGACGGCGGCGGAGGCTTCCGTCTGCGACTGCTGCGCCGCCGCCATGTTCGGGGGCAGCCGCTCCAGTTCCGCGCCGCCGCCGAGAGTGCTGCTGCAGCTCCTCCTCCTGCTGCCGCCGCCGCCGCCGCCGCCCGGCCAGACGGGAGGCGCTGGCGGCCCCCAATCCCGGCTCCTGCTCCTCCTCCTCACCATAGTAGCCGGCCCTTCCCTCCCCTACCGGGGCGGGCGGAACCCAGACAGGTTGGGGCGGTGCCGCCGCTCTCTTGCCCTTTTCCCCAATCCGCGGTTTTTCTTCTCACGCCATCGGCGGCCGCCGCTGAACGAGGAGCCCTCCAGCCACGCTCGCCTTCCCTGTGCCGTCCGCACAGCAGAGCGGACCCGCTTGCGAGGCTCGCAGGCACGAGGTTCTGGCGGGTGTGCGGCGAGCCGGCGGGCAGGCGGCTGGCTGGAGCTGTGGACGACACAGGTGGGCTGCTGGCGGCGCTGTAAGGGAGCGGCCGCAGGGATGCCTGCCTCCCTGCCTCCGTCCCGCTCCCCTCCCCCTGCTCCAGGCCAGTCTAGACGGGAATTGTGGCGTGGCGGCTCCTCGAGGGAGCTGCTTGCTCCGCTGTTGAATGTCCGCTCTCCCAGCGGGCACTTGCCACGCGTGCCTCCTGCTCATTCTGTGCGGCAACGCCTTAGGGCATGAGCTTTGCCGGTCAAGCGTTTATCGCGGATATCCTGCGCACGAAGAGGAGAAGACGGTGCGTGTATGTAAATACAAACCCTGAGTTATGATAAACTGGAGAACAAAGCAAACTTTACTGTTGCCTTAAAAAAAAAAAAAAGGAAACCATTAGCTTCTAATGTCCAAGGCATTTGTAAAGCACAGTTATGCACTCTGACATAGTTATGCATCTTTCTTAAACCAATAACAACTGTAATAACCCCATGTTAGCCTGGAAAGATAAAATAGTCTTCACTAGCAAATACTTCTTTTTAAAAAGTCAACCCGAAGTAGACATTTAGGGAGCCATCTTATGGTTAAGACCTTTGGGAGAGGGGATGTGTGATTTGGTAGGAACCCTGTCATGTCGGCAGCATGTGAGATACAGAAGCCCTGCTATGTTAGAAGAATGTGGTCTAAGCAAACCATATCAAAGGTGCCTTGGCAGAACCTGCTGGTGCAACCATTCAGGCCCTGACAATACAACTGGGGAAATGTCAAAACGGAGCCGAATTCTGAGCAGGACAGATGACACTTGTACCACGTCCTGTACATGCCAGACCACAGTCGTGCTTTGACAGTGGAATTTTACACTAGCGTGGCGCAGGGCATTTCCTCCCATTTTCTCCAGCAAGAGTGGGGGATTTAAAAGAAGCCACTCCCACATTGACAGCTGCCCTGCCCATGTTTCAGTAACAGAGTTTGGAGATGCTGTAAATCTGGACCCATTTATAGCCCAGCACCAGTATAGAAGCACCACATGGGAAAGATGAGATTATCGGCACATAGCGTGGGGCTGTACGTCTCTAGCACCACTGTGCACACTGAGCTCACAAAGGGGACTGTGGTGGGGTAACCAAGAAGGGAGCAGTTTGCGCAAAGCAGCTGGTCTGCAGTACACACCAGAACTTGAGTATAGAAAGATGAGATGCTTTACTTCAGGTCCTCTGCTTATCTTAAACAGAAACAAAAGCAAATGTCATCGCAAAGCTGTTCTGCAAAGTTAAGTGTTATCTGTATTGGTTACACAGAAATAAATTCTCTATTACATTTTCACAGTTCCAGATCAAAGAGATGGGATTATCCAAAACTCTTTTATATGCTGTTTTCTTCATAAAGCTTTGTGACCCATGCATACATTTATGCAGTTGCCATTAAGCTATGGCTCTAAATCTCTAGGGGAAGCACCCTACTTGTGCTTCTTACAGGAACTCTACTTGTTAGATTACCAGAATAGCTCAAGGCAGCTTGGCAGCCAGTCACTCTAAGGAAGTGACTGTTCCTTCCCTATAGACCAGTGCTGGATTCCAAGCTCTTCATTCAGCTCAGAGGTACAGAAGCAACCTGAACAAGGAGCTGAACTCGGCATACTTCTGCCTCCAGAAATAAGCTTTGGGCCTGCACCAATTATCCACCTCTGTTACCAGGAGACTGTCCCTGCACAATGCCCCAGCATAATCTCTGTCCTAAAGCTTAGTTGCACTGCTGCAACAAGTCTTTTCTCTGTGATACCTAAGTTCTTTCCAGATGAGCTTTTTTTGACAGACCTAGCAGGCTTCCCTCTGAAATGCTGGAATAAATAAAAAATGAAAAACGTGTATGAAAGAGAGAGGATACAATTATTACAGTATGCTTATAAAAGAGCAGCTCCTGAGCAAGACAACATATCCAGATGCCTCATGCCCTGGACTTTCAGCATATGTACAGCAGCCAGTAAAAAATGTTAAAAGATTTGCTAACTGAAGTAATTTTACTGCAAGCTTTGTCTTGGGATATGATCCTATGCATATTTAGACATAAATAAGGCCTATAAATATCTCTCAGCCACCCATGCTAGCTGGGAAATGCTGTAAGTTACAGCTCTTATTTCTATCTCAACTTGTGCAGGATTGCACCTTAATTCAATTTATGTATTAAATTTATATCCTGCTTTTTTCTTATAACAAACTGGCTTATATAATTCTTCTGCTTTCAGTTGTATTCCTGCAACCCTTGTGAGGTAGGTTGAATGTCTGTGACTGGCCCAGAGTCACCCAGTTGTCTCTAATATTCCTCGCCACATTATCTGTAATTGCTTTTTTGGAGATTAATCAGAAAAGTTGCAGGCATGAATGTAAGAACCTCTGAAATGCCTTTGCATTGAGAATGTCATTGGATGGCTTTGGCCACGTCATTGTAGCTGTTCCAAGGTCACTTCTGATCTGCCCCACTACATGGAGCCAATATACAATTCCCCTAGTCCCCAATCCCAGTCACAAATAGCGCACCTAAATACAGTTTACAAGAGAGGTCAATAGGGCTTTGGGCCTAATCTATTTCACAGTGTTGTTGTAAGGCTAAATTCTGTTTTGACATCCTATAAAGAAGCACTGAATGAAAGTAATAGCAGTAATCAAACAGGATTGCTTGGTTTCAGGTGAAAGCAAGGAGAAAGTACAATTCTCTTTTACAAATACTTCTATATAGCAGCTTTACTTGATTCTGGGGCTCATGGGGCTCTGTTGCTATATAAGGCAGCTTGCTTGTTTGTAGTATTTTTATCCTGCTCCTCAAACAAAAAAGGATCCTGGAGCAATTGCAATGACCAAAAAATAAAATCTCTGACTGCAGGTTTGCCATATAACAAAGAAGGAAAAGGGAATGAGAGAGAAGAGAAGGAAAACAACAAAGAAGGAAAAGGGAATGAGAGAGAAGAGAAGAAAATTAAATAGAACATCAGTACGGCTGGCACAATGACCCTACTAACTTCTCTGGGGATGTGAGCCAGGGGTGGGCAGTCCAACTGTGACAAGCCCTGATGTGTCCTCACCTGCTTCTGTCTCCTTGTCTGATTCCTCTTTCTCACAGCAGCTGCTGTCAACTCTGGGGAGGGGGAGAATCTCGCTGGACTGGTTCCTAACATCCCCTTTCCCTTTTCTTGTTCCCTTACTTTTTTTAACCTGCACTTATGTATAGGTGAGCCTCTCAATGTATTTTTCTGCCCACTTCCTTGCTTTTCTGCTTGTATCATGTCTCTGAAATCTTCTGTGTTAGAAATACTGGCCATGCTACCAGAATCTAAATGTCATCACAAGCAAATGTGTCACTATTTCTCCTCAGTGTTATAAGGGACCATTCCACTGGAAACTGAAGGAAGTATTCAGGGAATCTAGACAGCAGTCTAAACCCTAAACTTCAAAATGACATCAAATAAAAAGCATCCACGTATCCTGAACCACTCTTTCAATCCTGCTGAAACTTTCTACATAAGTCTAGCTTCGGATAAAATAAAAGTTATTAACCAATAACTCTGAACTCATATATAGCTCTGTCTCATCCACACACTGAAACACTGGAGTTACACTTTATCCACTCAAGTCTGTAAGTTCTGGGTAATAGCTCTTATGATGCAGCAAAACATTGTGTAAAGTGTTATGATTGGGCCAGAATCAAAAAACTGTTCATGTACGTGTAAACACTATATTTTATGCAGACTGCCACCAGAAAAAAATCTATTCAAGTGACCAATTATCCATTATTTGAATTACTCAGTACTAATTGAGTTCATGACTGCATCCAGTCATTTAATGCTGTTAGAACAGAAGCTCTCAAAGTAGTCAGTTGGATGAGCTGGCCATTAATCAACTTGACTCAATTCCAGTTCCTTAATTGAAAAGTGATAGTGACAATCTACTTAGCTGTTTTGATATAATCAGCTTTAACTCACCATGTGTTGCTAGAGAAACAAAGTGAACATTTAACATCCAGTACATGGTAATACTAAATGTGTTACATCTTCAGTATGAATTTATTGCAGCTTTTACAAGTGCATAGATAATGTATAACAGACTTGGATTTGGGTTTTGCAGAGAAAAACTGAAGTTATCCACTCTGTTATCTGCCCACTCCCACATCACATCCTAAAGTCTGCTACAAAGAAGTATGTAGGAAGGCACCTGCATAACACTGACGATCTAGAAGGTCATACACTTTTAACAACTGGTAGAGGTAAGAAGAACGTGGACAGAAAGAATGTGGGGTGTTGCTTTATTAAGCACAATCTAATCCATAATCTAATCTAATCCATAATCTAATCCACTTTAATCCACAATCTAAACCCAGGATGCCCCTTGGACTTCTGCAGTGTTCCATAGGAGTCATGTAATTATTTAACTCAGGGTCAACTTGCCTTTGACCAAAAGAATAAGTTCTTAATTATTTTGATTTTAATATGTTTCTATAGTGTCCAATAGCCATTGCTTTCCAGCTGTTTCACATTTCTTTTCATAATCTGGACAGTGACCACTTTCCTTATGAAATGTTAAAGCATTTAGGGCACAATTCTACACATATTAAGAAAAAAATAATCCTATAACTTGCAGCATTGCCCAGCTGATATGACTAGCTGTGCCCTACTGGAACTTGTAGGACTTCTGTTTAAAAAAAGCACAGGATTGTGCTCTTAGTATTTCTCGGTCTG